AGTCCACGGAAAATTCTACATTTACTTTTATTTACATTTATTTTCATATCGTGTTATTTGATCGATAAATAATTATTCTTTGTGTCTCAATATCAAGATCGCTATTACGGGATAAGAATAGATAATTTATGAGATAATTTTTTCGGAAGGATTAGGCTCAAGATTAAGGAGAGCATTTTTATGACACTCGCAGGTTGCACAAACAGAAAATGGAATTCATACGGTGTACTATCAGTGGAATACACCCTGAGAAACCGGCCAAATTTAGACGTCCGCTTACGAGTCGTCTGCGCATTCGTTAAGTCGCTCTCGAGACTTTTTTTTTAACCTACCCAAAATTTCGAATTTTATATTTTACTAGTGATTTCTGTGGCTCAAATAACTGTAAAAGTTAGAGAATCTTTGGCAATTTTATATTTTCGACTAAATACGTTCACTGCAAATAATATGTAATTTTTTTTTTCTCCAAAATGCAACTCACGAAAGTATTTAATTTTTTACTGTAGAATATTTTTTACTGTATAATAACTCACAGCAACTACGTATTACTATAAAATATCTATCGAATTACAATTTTTAATTTTTAACATTATGCACACAGATTCGAGAAGAACAGTACAACTGAAAATATGCCCTTATTCTGAAATTACTTTTCTCTTACTCTGAGATCGTTCGATTTAATTCAATCGATTGAAATAAACGAATATTTCAAGACTGAAACATGAATTACAAATTGTATTCAGAAGTAAGAGGTTCACGTTGAATTTCTCGTTTTCCCAATTTCCTCAAAAGATGGACGTACATACACCGTTTTCGAGAAAAATGGCCCAATTATAAGTGGAATTTCTAATGATCCAAATATCCACTAACTACATGCTCTATACTACACATATATGTAGTCACACTTTCACAATGGCTAACGTAGCCATCCTCGTAGCCATCATAGCGTTAGCACCACTTTACACTCATGTTTAATTAAGCGGACTTGTGTGGCAATCGTGCACAGGCTGCATGCACGCGTTTGCGTTAATCTGCATCTGTATCGTGACTCAGGATCCGTCTCGTACTGTTTTCTGAACCGATTGCGAGACCTGTATTACTCGCGATATCTGTGCGAAGCCACGATTTAGCTAGGTTGCAGAGTATTTTAGCCGGCGTTCACGTCCAGTTTGCATTTACGCGAGTATCGATCAAAGTAGGGTCAGGTTAAGCGCCAAGGTAAGCTTGGTTCTCATCGACTCGAACGATACTCGAGTCAATTAGAACGTAGTTAGCCGGCCATATCAATTCCCTCTGGATTGATACTCAAAACGATCGATGATCAACGGATATCTATGGCTCTGCATGGCTGCATTAGCCAAAATGAAAAGTAAATATACGCCTAGTAGCCAAGATGATAAATTTATGAAATTTTCTATACGGTGGAACTTCGTTTGTACAAACTTGTCAGAGGCCAAATATTTTTCACATGTAATTATAGAATTTCATCGATTCTATCGTATCTTTGTTCAAATTTAGTGGATTCAGTAAGGGAACATTCATTTTACTTGTTAAACAGCAATTTAGCCGAGCAATAATTTTTCACGTGCATCATAGACACGTTTTATTAAACTCTTCATTCATTATAAAAAAAAGAGTTAAGTACAAGTGCTTCTATATTTAATTTTTAATGCTAAATTTTGTTTAAATCCATTAAATTTTTAATGATATCAAATTTCAGGTAATATCCTTCTTAAAATTAGTGGATCTGGTAACAAGAAATTTTTATGTTCTCGTAATCAATAATTTGATATAAAAATAATCTCACAAAACAACGTTATACGATTATATAATTATAAAGATTATATAATTAACGTTATTACATCATCTCCACGAGAAATTATTTCAATCGAAGATCAAACGAATTCACAAATTTACTTATTTTTTTTTCAATTCTCTTCTCTATCAACCTCTCGTCGCCAATTGTCAAGAGAGGAGGCTTTGTTCGAATAGATTTTATTTCAACTCGAGAGACGCGTTCGTTTGTACAACGTTAGGAATCGGAACAGCACAACGTCGCTCGTGCGAACTATGCGTCAGATATTTTTGGCACCGTCTCGTCGTCTCCCTTTTTCTCTTTTCTGACTTCTGCTTTGGGGAATCGTTTCATCGTGGCAGTCGAATTTTTTCCGTTCGATGCACGTCCGACAAAAATATCTTCTTTTTTCCCAATTTTTTATTATTCTTCTCTTTTCTCTTTTATTTAACATCATTATTCGTATCGATCATCAGATTGCTGCGATTGGACGATGGCCACGACATACACACGCACACTTTGTATGTCTCTATGCGCAAGTAAATATGCGACGAGAATACTGATATCGAATCACAGGCGACATTCGAGAGCTCTCAATCGGCTGGGCACCGTTGTCGATACAATGCAACCTCGATATGGATCGGTGCATTGTCCAATTACCTCTGACGTGCTCGGTTGCATTGCCGATCGATAATATTAAAACGGATATCGAGAATATTTTGTTAAAAAATGGAACGAGAGACAACTGTTACCAACGACATTTTTCAAGATTCGCATGCTCGACATCGTGTGGAACAGACTACGTATGAAAGTGTGAAGTTAAGTATTTTACATCACCGACACTGACTTGCTGCAGCAACTACTCAAGAAAGTATTGATTGTTGTATTATTTTCCTTTTATCCTTGATAGATGAATTTGACATCACTTCCATGATTTCGATAATTAAATATCCAAAACAGGATTTTATATATTAATTCCTGTTTTAGATTTAACTAGAATGAATGAGGAATATTTAGAATATTTGGATTCAATAATTATCAATAACGAAAGATGTTGCTTCTTTTAAATTAAGCAATGTTAAATTGTCAGAATATTATTTTCTTGATTTTTACTTGAAATTGAACAAATTCATCACGAGCTAAGAGATCAAAATTTTTGCAAAGAATCACGGAGATAATAAAATATCGTCAAAAAGACTGAAATAAATTTTTCTAAAGGTCAATCTTCAACTTACCCTAATTTTTCCATTCTCCCTGGGCTCCGGATTTTTTTTTCACAGAATTCTCAAATTTATGCTTTCTCCATACCTATGCCTTAATACGTAAAATGAACAGAAGGAAATGTTTGATCGGCATGTAATTTCAGATCTCACGAGACGCGATTCGATACCAGTCTGATTCACCCTATTTTTTCACCTGCCTGTATTGAAATAACCCTCGGTGAAATAATTCTTTCTTCCTCTATTGATCCCCTCTGATCCGTTTTCCTTGGTGACAATGGGAAGCTACTAATATGTCGTCGCCACAGTTCCGCAACGAGGAAGCGCATGTGACATTTTTTTTCGGAGTTCATAGTATTTGAGCTAGGAAGATAGTTAAAACCGATACCTGAAGGCATCCATCACCACTAAGAACCCCTTCCCGTACGTTTCTCTTGGGGTGTCGATCATCGAAAACTTTTCCGTGACTTTCATATTCTGAAATTATTTTTATATTTAGAGAGCATAATTTTCAAAGATCTAATTATTATTATTATTTTTTAGATCATTATCTTTTTATGGAGAGATAGGATTTGCAAACATGAGGATTTTCCTAGAAGTTTCGTCATTTTAGAATTTTAGAATACGATAGTTCCACCTCGTAGTTTTAGAATTATTTTCATTTACAAATAAATGATTTCCTCGTGAGTATCATATTACATCTCAGAATTATTTTCATTTGTCGCAGAAAGAATAATATTTAAATATCTTCCCATAACATGGAATAATGTCTGAAGCGTGAAAATTGAAATGAAATAGGACAAGAGTAGAACAAATACATCTAATGTAATATAGATACCATTTATATTCAAGGACTGAAACATTTCTGAAACATGAGTCAAAAATCGAACAAGAATTTACCTTAAATCGTCACCGATTGCCTTTCTGTTATACTTTCCATTATATCTCAATATTTACAAGAGAGAAGAGATCATCCGACAGATTATTTCTTTATCTAGATTTGAGAGCGAGGTGGTGAGTCCAGGGTGTGACTCAGCTCCTTCCTTCCATCGATATCCGGCGTTCCGTCTCGTTTTCCACGTAATTAGACGGGATTTCAATGACTTCGGTCGCAGGTTGCCCGCGAGATCAACGAGTGAAAGTGTGTCACCGTATTTTTCGTTTTCCGCGTGTTATTGGCAGACAGTGGTCTTGAGACGTTTTGACGTCACGCGTTCCCGCCGACAGCCATTTCCGCGGGCCATTCACTTGACACTCGAGTGTACATACAGGGTGTTTCCTACTTTTCCCGCAAAATCTACAAACTATAATCTACTTCTCTGTTACGAAATGGCAGACAGAGCCATTGAATATAAGAGCAGGCGGAGAGCTGGCTCAAACAATTTGCTTGAAAAATAAAAAGATCGTCAATGTATGTTTCTTTGAAATGACACCTGCGCGTGATCACTAGACTTATACTTTTAATACAACTGAGAAACTAAAAACCGAGTAAAAATTTATCTCGTGCAATAATAATTTACTTTATATTAGGTACGTCGTATAAATTATTATACAATTCTAAATTTTCCACAAATTTATGAACTGTCTCGGAGTTTAATAGGCTATTAATAAATATCGAATATATATATACATACATATACACATTAAAAATATGCTAAAAATATCTGTGACATTTTACAAGAAAAATTGACACAAGGGATGGACGAGGATTAACTGAACCAACTGTTCAAATGGAACTTATGAACGGTAATGTATTTACGATAATGTCATCACCTGATCGCACGAAAGAAAGAAGGAAAGAAGAAAGTTGAAAAATTAGCGTGCCACGGCTCGAATTCTCGAGGGATGAGTGTAAACAGCAACGAAGAGCGACAAGGGGTTGCTACTGAAACGGGGAGAAAGAGAAAACCACGTTGAGGTGGAAGGGGAACACGAGGCGGTCGAGCTCGATGCACTCGACCGTCTATTTAGTCGTTGGTCGTGCGCGCGCCATGCTGGATCGGCAGCGATCGTTTTCACGTTGCTATTGCAACCGAATGTGCTCGCGTTCTCCTCATCGACGCGTTAATTAAACGGTCTCCTGGCTCGCGAACGATAATTGACAAAGCCGGGGGGTTGGGGGGGAAACTCGTCGAGAAAATCGAGACTAATCGAACCGTCTTCGAACACTTCGTCTCTCACAGTTTTGAAACTACGTGGAGAGGATGAAAATCGCGAGCCTCGATTCGGTGTAAACGTAGCGTAACTGGTTGTCAAGCGAGAAACATCGAGTGTTGTGAAACGAAACACAGGAAGGAGTTATTAGATGTATTAATAACAAAGTGTACAATTGAAATTTTGATAAAATCGAACACTCGGAGATTTGAATTGAAAGTGGAAGATTGGCTCTGAGAGAGTCGACGACAAAGTGAAACTGAAGATTCTGTAATTGCGTTCTGTAACTGAAGTTTTTTCTATAATTGGGAAATTCGTGTTAAATTGGAATCAAGTTCTCTGGAATTAAAAATCAACGATCAGTGGAGTTCGACGTCGAAATAAAATTGGAGATCCGAGAATTAAATCGTAATTAAGTTATTTCTCCGTTGCTGAAACGTCCGAGGAGAAGTAATTAAAATCGAAGACTCCCGAATTAAACTGTAATTAGAGTTCCTCTCTATTGAAAAATAAGCGAACCAAGGAAGTCGACGAGGAATTAAAATTGAACACTCTGGACGATTAAATCGTAATTTTAGGCCACTTTACCACTGAGGCTGCTGAAATCAAACTGCGACTAAATTCAAACCAAAGTCAAAACGTTTCGCAAAGGAAAACGCTAAAGCAAAATTAGAACGGAACCTGTCGAGCAATCGACAAACCAAAGTGGCCAATCTCAGGGTCAAAGATTCTAAAATTAAATCGGAAGTTTCCGTCAAAGTTGATCGAAAAATCAACAAACGAATATCGAAGCTTCTGAAATTAAATTCCTCGAAACATCTACGATCCACCTAGGCGAGTCGACCTACGACTACGATCAAAGATCCTGAAGTCTACCCAAGATTGAATTTTCCGGAGTAAGAAAAAAACAACCAAACAAGAGACAACGAGCTTCACCAGTCGATGATTCCAAAATTAACTCGAACCAGCGATCCGTAGAGAGAGTTGACCGCGACGACGCTCGTTAACTCGAAGGCGAAACCGCCGGCTCGATAAGCTGTTATCTGGCTGCAATAATTGCAGGCTGCGTGTATCACGGCATTGTCGTCGGACGTGAAGGCTCCGCTCGGTCGCGAGAACTGATGACCGCGCGTTGTCAACAGGTGATACGATCGACGAAGACAAAAGAACGGGAAGAGAGGGGAACGTTATCAATAGAGGCGTAGGTTTGAATGAAAGAGAACGAAGCCAGTTTCAAGTGCTATCGTCAAGTCGAAAAACCCTGGTGAACAAGCGATTGGATCAGAGCGCGTTCCAACGTTTGATCACGCAATTGAACGGAGGCTTCGCGCGACTCGCCAGAAGCAGATAGCGCGATAACGTCGAAAGAGAGTGGAAAAGGAGTCTGGCGCCTCGTTTCTCTGTTAAAGTGACACGTCGCCTTGGCCAATAAAAACGACAGACAGCTGTTCGAACCGAACGAAATCGGCAGCTGCTCGTTCGTTGGCCCCCGTCGCTCTTTAATTTCAGGCAGAAGCCTTAATCCAAGTCGAGTCGAGTCGTCGGTGGCGAGTGGGGAAAAAGGAAAGAAGAAGAAAAAAGAAAGAAAGAGTGATCGGCGGTGTCGGTAATTTTCTCTTTAATTTCGGAGCGAGGTTAATTCAACGTTGAACCGTCAATCGAGCAGAGAGCGGGAAGCATAAGCGATCGATAGATCCCTGTCTCTCTCTCTCTCTCTCTCTCTCTCTCTCTCTCTCTCTCTCTCTCTCTTTCTCTCTTCTGCTTGAATTCCGATCGATTCCAACTGTGAGTCTAAATAATACCGGTGAAGTGTTAACAGGTCCCTCCTCGCCCGGCTTCTTATTGCTTTTTCGTCTGTTGGCCTCTTTTGCTCTTCAATTTCACACCGAGGCTTAACTAGTGATATCGAACCGTTAACCGAGCAGCGAGCAGAAAAAAAAAGAAAATCGACAAAGTGCTTGAATGTCGTAAAATTGACGAGTCCGGATAGTACCGAAGGGATATAATTTCTTTAATTAACGAAAGGGAGAAGGAGGAAGAAGAAGAAGAAAGTTTGGTGTGTTGGTTGCTTATCTTGATCTTGGATTAATGGTGAAACGAAGACGCCGTGAACGATGACAGGGCGAAACTGATGGAAAGGGGAGAACGAAACAGAAGATTCGTCAGGATGATGATGACACCGCCGCAGGTCGTGGGTGTTCTGTTGAAGAAGCCGGGACAACAGAACCACCCACGTTTCCCACCGTTAGACCCACAGGAGACGAAAATCAGAGGTTGGCCCTTTATCTTATCAAGCTTCTAGAGGTTTTGTTTAATTGATAACATCAAGGAAGCGATAAACGAATTTCGCCTTGAGAATAATCGTTTCCCGAGTGATTGTTGAAATCCTTCGACTAGAAATTTTCAATGGAATTTTATTACTGGAAGACGGAAGGAACGTGTTTCTATCTGACTTCAAATTCGTTTAAACGTGATCCTAAATAATGTGAGGGTGTTCAAGTTCGAATTGGCTCGAGCACGATAAATATTATAACATCGAGCAAGCCACCACGTGGCAGGCGATCTTTCTCTTGAAAATAATTATTTTGGCAATCGTCGAAAATTCTTTTCGTTCAAAATTTCGCGTCCGGAGCTTTACCACGTATTTCTATAACTGTATCGATAAATGATTTTTCCTCGGAGGACGATTCTTTTTAGCAATCGTTGAATTCTTATCGTTTAAAACTTTACTGCTTGAATTCAGATCGAAATGCAACATCAATAAATGATTTTTCCTTCGAGAATTATTCCTTTCGAATAGCCTTCTCTTCCTCTTGCGGAAAATTTCATCGAAAGTTTTATTACTGAAAACTGTGCGAGGAAAGCGTGTTTCAGCTCGAATTTGAATTCGCTCGAATGTGACCCTAATTATCGTTACTTAGTCTAGAAACGACTGTTTACCAATCGACTGAATATGCGAGAACGTAAACTCACCATTCACCGGCCTCCTCTGTCTCTGATCCTCATTACGTATTATCGATGTTATGATTCATTGGGCTGTGTTGTTACAACATCAATCTTATCAGACTCGTAACTCGAGGCGCTTATTTCGAACGAAAGTGAACGTTCAACTGTTCTGTGAAACGCGCGGGTTTTTGCCAGTTCGGATCTATTTTCTGGATAAACCTTTCGTAAATATCGAAACAAACGCGGCTGAGTGTTACGTCTTCTCTTGATTAATGACTTATCGGAATGATTCAGTGCAATATTAGAGCGACTTATCATTACGAAGAAGCACGTTCGTACAATGATTTGAAAAAATTGTTTGTTCCATGATGGGGGAACTTTTGTAATTGGGGATGGAATTTCATACGCAGTGATTATTCAATTTCTGTTTCATCGAATTTGTTTCTTGTTAATCTATTATTTTTCTAATAATTTCGCATATACAAAGAAAAGAATAGAAAATTCATTACTTTCGCTACAGCTTCAATACTTTCGTTTAAACATTTAAATTTGGTTTACGAGTAATTACATTAATACTATTACAAATAATTGCTGGATGATTCGTACATGAATATTTACTTATTTCGAATAAAATGTAATTTGCTAGACAATGTAGTGTTTCTGAATTCGAATTTTAAAACGATGGAACACGAGATGTATTAACTCTTTGGAGCACAATGGCACAAGAAATATCGCACACGATTTCAAATCGTGAAACTTCGCGTTCCAAACGACGAGTGTAAAGCTATTTCGTCGCTTTAGAAGAAATTTATAAGCGGAAATATTTCTGCGCACTGTGGATTTGAAACATTCGTCTCCTCTCCGAAAATTCGGACGCTCGAGAATTTAAAAAGGAAAAAGAAAAAAAAAAAAGAATTAAAGAGAATCCGAAGAATCGACGAGTCTCCAGAATTTCGTTCGACCTCGATCGCTACACGACGATTAATGATTCACATAAATTCCGTCGCTGAACCCGGCGAGCAGCGTGCGTGAGACTTTCACGGTGAAATTTCCTCGGGTGTCGTCAACCCTGACATTAAATCGTGGACGGTGTCAGGGCTACGATCCCTCGGATCGTAGAACTCGTGTGCGGAGAAAAAGGAACGAGAAGCTTCGCGCTCGGTGGAAGCCGACACTAGACAGCCAGTTTTCATGTTCCCCCGGAGTGGATAACCGCGTAAAAGTATCCCGTTACCACGGTAGCCCAGATACCGGATTACGGAGCACGAATTGTCAATCGAATCGTGAGAGATTGCGAGTTTCCGTGATGAAAAAATCGCCGACCACGTTAGTCGCCCGGGGGACCGCAAGAATTTCGTGATACGCTTTTTTTTTCTTCTCTCTTTCTTGTTTCTTTTTCTCTTTCTTTTTTTTTTTTTTCTTTTGTGTTGCGTTAAAACGAGTACGGAATGGCGGTGAACGGGGTTCCTCGATGTGTTTTTTCTATTATACTTCATGTTTCTGTTACACGTGTCATTCGCGCCAAAAATATTAATTAAAAAGATCTTCCTTCTATCGTCACGATATGAAATCTTCCCTCTTTCACTGTGATTAAATTAAGCGAATCAATATCTGATTATTTTATCAAGTCGCAATGTGTGAAATGTCCTGTTCTGTTATACTAATGTTTGAAGCTTGAAATTTAGATCTACGATTTCACGTACTATTTCAAACATAGACTTTCATTTGTAATAGAGTACGTTGCTTTTATTCTATTTCAATCATCGTTTTGACACAATTATTCTAACCCTAAAAATTCGTCGTTCACGAAACAAGAAACTGTCGAAAATGGTTTTAAAGAGTTTTTTTTAGAAACTTATACTTAATTGGGAGAAGTTTGCAAATTGTACAAATTTAATGTTAAAAAGTATTATGCTTGTTCAAAGTTACTATGAAATATCAAACATTTCCACGATTTAATAATAATTGAAAAGAAGACTTTATACTAGAAGAGAAAGGATGTTTGATAATTAGGCGCGTAGAGGGAGGAAAAGCAGGTAGAGATATTCAGTCTGGCAACGTGAAAACGTATCCAGTACGGATACGTTGATAGAATCACCTGCTTTCGTTTTACTGTTTCTTGACCTGCCGCAAACGATGGAATTTAGGTACTCCACTTGTCAGTCTACAATTAACCACACCGTGCAGCAAATTTTCGCGCGATTCTATTTTCATAACTACGATAGGAATTTTCCCCGGCTACTCTTAGATAAATTTCTTTTCTTTCAAGGCATCGTTCTACTAAATCGTCTAATCGACGTTTCAAATCGAATATCATAGATTAGATAAAACGTGTACAAATATGTACCAGACTGTCATCGATGTGTCAACGAAAATTGTTGTAAAAGTGTTGTAAACTGCGATTAGCAAATGCAATTTTGTTACTTAGCGTAAGATTAATTTTTTTAGTGTATGATTAATTTATGACCAAACGTACATATGTAGTTTATTAGTTTTATAATAAATACATATTATGGAGCATTTTTGAATTTCATGTTATAATTTTGTATTTCATAATTCGTAATTTTATTGTGGAGTATAAATATATAAATGTATATTTATTCATATAATTAATACTTTATATTTGTTATAATTTAAATGTAATGTTAGAGAATATTTGGTTACGTGTATAGCTTTGAAATTGCATTTGCTACAATGTGTATTATATATACAAATGAGACTTCAACATAATATGTTTATGCTTAAAGTAATGACATTAAAATCAACATAAATTTCAGAAGTTTATGCATACTGCATTATTTACTTAGACATCACATTAATTTTAATAGGATCATCTCTTGTGCATCTCATGTTTCATTGTAATTTAAATTTTTATACACTAAAAACTTGTGACATCTTATTAATGTCTATTAAAAAGTTCTACTTGTTTCAACAATAACTATAATTAGCTACATACTCCTCCAATTGAATTCAAACTTTTTCAACTTTCAACGCCACTACTAGCGAACGATAAGAAAAAATACGGTCGATAGAAATTTCAGTTTAGACTTTCATGGGGAATACTTGTCGCAATAGCCCCGATTTTCCCCCAGACACGAGATCGACGCAACAAATTTGGCGATCAATCGTGCAGAAACCGAGTTAATCGCGGGGAAAGTTCCTTCGCACTCGAATCTAAGAAATTGGGGAAGTGTGTTGCGCTAATCTTCCAGATTCTCGTTGAATTTTCAAGTCGACTAGCTTCGAACGATGCCCGGTGTGTATATTATGGTGTGTTACACGAAGGGGAGACGACGGGGATCCCTTGTTTCATTTTTCGAAACACTTTCGAGTTCCTCTCGGACGTTCCCCTTCTTGGAGGATTTTTCGCGAAACGCGAGTCCACGCATAAAGGAGCGTTCTTTGTGGTGTAGAGAGGGGCTCGCTGTTCTTGTAAATAGCCAATGGAGCCCCTTAAAGAACCCCCACGGGATTCGAACGAGTGTCCGCAAATGGTGACACACGTTTCACACTTCGAGGCCCGCGTGTGCTGAGCTGGGAAACAGGATCTACAGATTTTTATATTTTTTTCTTTTTCTTTTCCGTTTTCTTTTTTTCTTCAAGCGACTGGCCTGTCGCCTTGCCGTAAATAAATTGTCGCTCATCGGAATATCCGACCGAGGTGAAGTAAATTTGCGACTCAATGACACGACCTCGCGACAATAACGCGCGCGCTGACAAGAGAATCGCGACGGATCTCCTCGAATTTTTGCGATTTCATTACGTGTACGAGCATTCTTTAGGATGATGGTTCAACTTCTTCTCAATTTGTATAATTTGAAAGGCGAAGCTGTTTGTTCCTTCATGTCCCATCAGTTTCATGGCTGTCTTCTTTTCTTTTAATTTTTTTCTTTAATTTTTATCAGTTGCAACTGTTTGACTTTTGTCATAATCGATGGATGTTTATGTGTTTATGGAAAGTTTAAAGATGTAAAAATGCACAGAATTACACACATATGAAGTGTAATTATTAAAAGACTTATGTCTCTGATAAATCTAGTAAATTTTTATTCGTTTTAGTCGTCCCACTGTACCAACGCAGTGTTTAATTAAAGAGGAATTTAATTCTAGTCTTGTGCATCCTCGTGACTCATGTAATTTCTTCCTGTTCAGAGATGTTTGATGCTTTACGAATTTCATTATAACTGACGCATCCTCGATCTTCTGAGTTATTTTATCACGCGAAATTTCTGTTTCCAAACGCTGGATTTCAAATTTTGTATTTTAATTCTGAAACAATATCGTTGGGTCATAGATGGATGTGTGAGATAATTAAAGTTTAGGATAT